GCGTTTAAGGGGTTTCATGGTAAGCATGGTGTTTCAAAACAAAACAAAACAAAAAACAAAATAAAACAACAGAACAACATGAAAGAATGTGGTCGCAGCTAAGGAGGTTTTCACATGTTGTTTAACTCCAGTAAAGTCTGATCCAGCATCTGATGCATACTAAGGTTTTCTTCTTTGGCATGAGCCACTTTCTCTGTGGTGGGATTAGAAAATTAAGTCATGAATAGCTGCACTTTGGACACAGCGGCGGTTCACTCGTTTATGCAGGCAAACATCAGTCACAAACAAAGATGAGAGGATTAGGACAAGGCATGCTGGTAAGATATTACTCAATTCCAGACAAGGACCTACAAAGGGGGAAGACGGCTTTGACCCAAAGGAACCACAGGCACAGCAGGCTCTCATAGAGCGGAGCGGACAGGGGAACCTTTGCCAAGGATCCACTCAGAATACAGTGCAGGTGGGGCTTGGCGGAGGTCCACGGGCCGTACGCCGTGGGGCCGGGCAGGGGTGCTTGCCGCGCTGAAGTTAATACAGCAGACATTTCTGAGTTACAGGCAGTTAAAGGTCTGGGAGCTGTGTTGTAACACAATCTCACAGAAGACAAGGATGACGTAAGTGGGTTTTCTGACAACTTTTAGAATGATTTATTTCTCTTGCTCATTTAAAAAAAAAAAAGAATATCAACATATTTCATGCACACTTCAGTAGAACATTCTCTAACTATTCTTATAGTGTTCTATTTATTAAGAGCATGACATTCTCACCAGATTCCAACAACACCATTAGACGGAATAAAAGCATACCTTTCAGACAATCAGGGACTTCTGACATGAGCTCCTGTTTTCAAAAGCTATTTTGCCCAAGCATAGGTACATTTAATCAAACACTATACCAGATATTATGAAATTAGGAATATGAGTATGTAATAGCTATATATATATTATATATATTGTACCCTAATTTATATATAATATATATATACGTATATGTGTGTATAGTTACTCCTCTGCTTTGGCTTTCTAATTAAAAGCAGGACTCAGTTCTCTGTAGGAAACAGAAAACAATTTTTGGTCCTCTTTATGTATCAGTTTAAACAAGAGGACCGGCAGTTGCTGAATTGTTATAAATATTTAATCCATATACATATACATAATTTTACGACAAAAGCGGTTTCGGGGTTTAGGGAGAACTTAGTTATTCCAGATATAAGAGGAAAATGCAGGTGAAACCAGCTTTCTCGCTAATTCCTTCCATGTACAATTCTGCAGAAAGCAAGTGTTGTCAGCCCTATCAGTTGAAGGTACGGCAGTCTTAGATTTCCTGCCCATGGGCTCCATTCCTAGAAATCAGCCCAAGCTCTTTCCCACTTAGAGCTTAATCCTCATTCAGAGCCAGCTTTAGTTGGTTAGTTAGGCGGCGGTTTTGCTCAAGTTGCTGGTAGAGTTGATCTGTACAGGTCAGCAAGCAGGTTAGCAGAAGAGAGGAGGCAGAAGGAAGAGAGAAGTTAGCCAGACTTGGTAAAAAAGTTAACAGACAGCACACAGAGATACCTCGGTCACCGGCCAGGCAGCTCACCCTTCCCCGGTGGTCATCTGTCCCATGCCCAGGAAGGGGAGGCGGTAAAGGCCTGGCAGATTGAGGAGGAGCCAGGATTTCTCACTTGGTGGCCGGGGAGGAAAAGGGAGTGACAGGGGTGAGGGAGGGAGAGAGGGAGAGAGGGAGAGAGAGAGAGAGAGAGAGGGGAGATATTCCTCTTGCACCTTATTAAAACCACTGTGTGAAGGAGCCACCGGCAGCTCCCGGCAACAGCCCGAGGAACCACGGCAGAGCAACAGAGTGGAGATTTTACAGTGAAACCTCAACCCACACCATTTTGCTCACCTCTTCCCAGAACCCCTTTCACCTGCACTCCTGGGGCTGGCTCTCCTTTCAGGAAGTACCAAGAGGGGCCCCAGGGGCTGCTGCATTCATAGTTTCTGAAATGCAGAGCAAAGTCCCCTGTCCCTCCCCCAGTCACCACCATACAGGGTGCTACCCTACTCAAATAACAAAACCAACCAGCACTCATCTCCACGCCAGACTTAAAATTCATTTGCTTACTTCTTGAAGAGAATGGCATTCATGTGTGGTGCGGGATGGAGGCACAGAGACAAACACCCACAGGGAGAGGAGTGCAATGTCAATTTTACACAAGGGCCTGTAATCTGCTCACACGGCAGGGAGGCCGACCACAGCTGTCAGGCTGCATGATGATGCAGGGGATGCTGCCAAAATGACAAGAACCTGGCACTCACCACGAAATGCTGGAGGATACACAACTCGTTCAAATGACTGTGACAACCTGGACCCAGAAATTCCACTTACTGATCTTGAAAAGCTGACAATCCTACCCCTGGGGAGAATGCAACCATCCAGCCTCTGGCTCACAGCTGTGCTGGGAAATTAACCAGTCTTATTTCAGCTTCCTCTCCTAAGTGGTAGGAGATGGGGAAAGAGGTCCTGTGCACTAGGGCACTATTCTAGCTTAAAGTATCTGCTACCCTGTCCTCTTCGCTCATCCCCATTCTCTGGCTATTCAAAACCCTAGTCAAACATCACCTTCTCCATGTAGCTCCAAATGTACACCATCTAGGAGTTCAGACACGCTTCACTCCTCTGCCTTTCAGCAAAATGGCCAGCTCATCGGGCCAAAGAACATTTCAGGCTCATCTCTTCACACCTCCACTGCCTTCCACAATGTCTTGGGTAAGGGACGTGGCTCTGAGGTTGCAAATCTAAACCCCATCGGCACATTCACACGAACACATGCCGGTAGGCACATATATATCTCAGTTTGCGGAGCCCATGTCTGGCCAAACAGGAATGAAAGAACTTTAGAGAAACCCTAGAGAGCCCCAAGAGTCAATGAGAACTCAGTTTAAATGACAGCTGTCCCTACCACATCCCCTTGTGGACCTGTTCCACTGCAGCTGTCATGGAGCTGTCTGGCCGGGTAGGCTGAGGGCAGGGACCAGAAACAGTTACACATTTGGAAGGGTTTCCCCCTCCTGTCCTACCTCCCAGATGTCTGGAGCCTCTAGTGCTCAGAGTCAGCAATGCTTTCTGTTTGGTCCTACCAGGCTCTTGCAGCAGCAACAGCTATGGTCTGGCCCTGTGAACTGGAAACCTGGGCCCTGACAATTTCTAGACAGAATCAAGTTGCTACTTAGCCTCCTGTGAACCTGTACGTTCGTGGGCTATTGTAGATCTGCCTTCTTGAACCATCAGTTTCCCATTTTCCCTTGCAGAATGTTCTCACAGATAGTGTGAAACTCTCTGGAAGGGTTTCCAAAGGAAAAAAAAGAAAAAAAGAAAAAAAAAGACGTGCCTCCAGAATTAACTGTACGTCTGCTCAGCAGAACTTTAAGACTCTTCATTTTGTCTATAAGCAGGAAGCGGGGTTCACTCACAGAAGGACCCACTTCTATCACAAGGAGTTAAAAACAAAAGAAAAAAAGGCAGGAGTCATAGTCAAAAGCATACAAAAGGAGGTTGGGAAAAAAATCCATGAAATTGTAGAAGTCTGCACTCTCAAGGGACAGACAAAGACTCTAGATTCTAAATTTTAGACGTCTACTATACCGCTATTAAAATGCCTTAATATGTGGTCCTCTTAAAGAGTATTTTTCTTCTGCTCTAAAGTCCTTGGAGAGTGACTGATATTATCTTCAGTTTGTCTAAATTTATTTGAGTATAGTGGTATATAGCAACCCTCTTAGGCTAACAAAAACAGATGAAAATCACCCACATTTAAAACACAGGAGAAGTAGAGCCAGACTGTTGAGGATGCAGAAATGTTGGGAATTAAGAAACAAAAGTCCACACCATTTGAAAGTTCTAATTTTGCAATGTGTTTCTCTTTGAAAACCACTTCGCTGCTGTTTTTGAAGTGAACTAGTAAAGCCTAAATATAACTGTATTCTGAACAATTTCTAACGCTTTCAGGAAAAAAAAAAATCAACTCTAATGGCTATACTTCAAAAATGTCTACAAATGAAAGAAAAAAACCCAGCCATTATCACAAATATCATATACATACAAACCCTCCTAAAAAAAATATGTGATGTCCTTGAGGGCACAAAAAGGAACCTTGACTTAAATGTTACCATACTTAGAAAACTTAAGGGGCGCCTGGGTGGCTCAGTTAGTTAAGTGTCTGCCTTTGGCTCAGGCCATGATCCTGGGGTCCTGAGATCAAGTCCTACGTCAGGCTCCCTGCTCAGTAGGCAGTCTGCTTCTCCCTCTGCCCCTCCCCACAGCTTGTGCTCTTGCTCTCAAATAAATAAATAAAATCTTAAAAAAAAAAACAACAAAAACTTATGGAGCCATGTCATGATCAAAATGAAGGTGGCTGAGTAATGAATCAAAGCTTTAACTGTTCTTTGGGCTGTGAAAGGATGATCAACAATAACCTCAACTACGACTGCCTGGATCCAAGTTCTTGTCCGAGATGCTGGTAAGTGAATTCCCGGCACTGTGGGCCGCTAGTCAGCCACGTCCCTGCAAGCAGGGCCACCTCAGCATTCACGCAAGGGGCTCACCACATCCCACACCAAACTTCTGGCAGAACGAGACACTGCTCAAGGCACGTCTTCTCACTTCTGCAAGCAACGTCCCCTGTGTGGACATTCTCAATGAGGACTACATACCAGAACCATCACCTTCTCAAAAACACAGGACAAACACCTCCCCCCCCCCGCCACGGATTCCCAGGCCTCACTCTAACCCCTGCAAACTATAACTCTCAGGGGGACCCACGCAGGAGTATTTTTTAAAAGTTCCGTAAGGAACTACCACTTTAGAAACTTAATATTAATGTTCAGCATGGAAAGAAAAAAAAAGGAGCAGCCAAAAACTAACCCTCATATACGTGAAGTAGACTTGTAGTTTCATTCAGTGTTGAAATGAAAAATGTCAATAAATAAGGAGTAAAAAGAAGAGCAAACAGAAACAGCTTGCACAGTGTTTATTTGACACTGAAACGAGGAGCTTCTGTACAATGGAAAGCAGTGTGCCTGGCCCTTAGGCTGGAGGCTAAAGGAACGAGCCAGGTCAGCTGGAGAAGAGACAGACTGCAGAGCTCAGAGAGGTGGGACAGCCAGCTTGATGAAGGGGTCTCGGGAGAAGTGAAGCAAAGAAACTTATCTGCATGAGGAGAAAAGGTGGGAGAAAAAGAAAACAAGTGGCACAATGGTAAAAGGAAAACCAAACTAACAGAGGCAAGCAGCACTTGACACACACGCCAGAAGCAGACATGCAAACCCGCTGCCAGCCGCACCTGCAGGAGGATGTCCATCCTCACCCACCAGCGTCAGGACCCAAGGCCAGCACGCGCCCCTCTGCGTCAGGGGCCGTTGCTGAGAAGGCCCAAGAACAGAGTTTAAGGCTTTAAGCTAACCCACCTTTCAGAATAGTTAATCATACGCGGTGATTCCCCTCTAGAATCACATTTTAGCATTGGAAGAGACCTTATAGACAGAGGTTCTGACTCACTCCCACATTTACAAATGAGGGAAGGGAGGATGGAATTCTCTCTACTTTCCACGGGGACAATCAGTCTCCCTCATGGTGATGTGGAGGTTCTAAAACCTGTGACGTGGCAGGCATGGGCCATACCCTTCAGGCAACCATTTTCCTGCATGGGTGGGTCTGGAAATTTCCAGGTTAGATGGATTTCAGTGCCATATTATTAGAATGAAGGGAACCCTCTGTGGAAAGCTCCAGGTTAGAGTTTAAAGAGAAGAAGGATGCTTGGGTCTGGTTAGCAATATGCGGATTAGTTGTGTGTGCTCAGAGTTCTCATGAGAACACGGGATCTACTTCAACTCTCACTGCCTCACACAGTTAAGTTGGGTCATGAACTCCCAACTCATACCAGGCAATCAGAGTTTTATTTCCCAATTCTTTGACACCAACTGTGGTGCTCATTGTGAATATTTCAATTCCTTTTAACTAAACACAGAAAATTAAAGGCTCTAGTATTCAGCAGATGAACCATTTCTCTCCAGAATTCTTAAAAGCAAGGAAGAGATGATCTCTCACAGCACCATTCCTTAGGCTGTACCAGATCAATTTCCTCTCAGTTCATCAGTAACCGGACACTTTTGGGTTCCTTTTTGACATCTCCGGGAAGTTCCTCAAATTATACGTATGGCCTTTTAATTTTACTTGAGCCTAGTTTACCTAAAATGGCAGCCCTCGAGTCCGTCCTATTTTAGTTCACTGCTTGGTGGGAACCATCTAGCTCAGAGATTGTGAAAGAAACAGATTCTGAAAGGAAAATGATTTGTACAGACAGACTGAATCTGCTTGGTTTTTCTATTAGTAGAATGTGAGCAAAAACCAACTATCCTAGGTGATGCAGAGAATAAACAGAAAGGCGTGAAGACAGAGCTTCTGGAAGTAGAGAAGGGAGCAGTGGTGAGTTTATCGTATTAGCGTGAGGGCACGGATGTGAGCAGGCAGGGTGGATGAACATTTACATGGAAGTCATATCGTTGAGAGCGTGGTCCAGCTCCTCGCTGATGGCTTTGTACTTCAGTTTCTGAGCGTACAGCTCGTCTATGACCACGAAGTGGAAGGCAGAGGTGCAAGGGCATGGAGAGTGATCAAGAGATGGAGGGTGAGCGGGGGTGGCGTGGACGCCATCCCGACACAGCAGCAAGAAAGGGGCAGTGCATGAAGGAAGTGGTATCGCAGCAGGTGGCCAATGCAGGAGGCGTGCGTTTTGGTTTTAAATGAATTGAAACAAAAACAAAAAGAACAAAAGCCATTAGAAAATAAAACAAGAGAGACCCAATATGAAAATCATCACAAATATGGTTGGTCTAGCAGTAAACCAGATTAAACCCTAAATGAAACCACAGAAGGCTATCTGCTGGGTGGGCGACCGGACACCTCTCCTGTCTACAGCCCTGTTTTCATGGCTCTGGAGCAGGGAGCCACCTGCGACTATAAACAGTGGGGAAAATATCCAAGGGCAGTGTTTCGGAAGAACAATTTGTGACTCTGGTCTGTCATCCGGATCTGGCTCCGCCCTCCAACCACTGATTTCCTGACCAAACCAGACTCCTGCGATATCGGTTTCTGAGGACCCTGGGATATGCTCCTGGGGGTCTTGCTAAGCTACCCAGCTCCCGGTCCAGGGGAGCGAGGGGAGCCACACAGTGGAGGGTGGTGCTGCGCCAAGTCTGCAGTGTAGTCTCTGTAACGATGAGGTTTTCATTCTTTGCTGCACTCTGGCAGGCTGTTTTGCAACCATCTGTCACCCTCTCTTTCCCACCAGCTTGGTTCTCATCGGCACCAACATCCGGTGCCTTCGCCAGCCCCTTCTGCCTTTCTTGTCCATTTTAAATATTTCCCTTTCTATTCTTTTTCACAGTTGACCCTCCACAAGCCTCAGAGTTCAACATTTAGGATTTCTGTGAGACAAAGGTGGGTGTCACTTAAACAAAACCTACATACCTTAGGGGAAAAGGGCTTAAATATAATCTCAAAAAACAATGTCCTATTATCCCCACACCCCTTCCAGAATGTGGAGCATCTGCCAAGATATGAAGGACTTAAACCCCACCGTTACATTGGATTCTTACTTGGAAGACGAGTTGTGTCTAAAAACAAATCCATGCCGCTCTGACAAATAGGAGGGATCACTAAGCAGAAAATATGCTAGTCGCTCTCCCCTACAATCACCTCACCCACAGTGACAAATAAACCTGCCACACTTCCCAGAGTGTGAAGTCAAAGCTGGATGGCAGCTGCCGTTACAGAGGGACGGACCTCATCTGCTGGCTAGCAGTCGTCTGGTGAGCAGAGGACTCAGGTCCAAGAGTTTAAGAGCCACAGAATGAAAACCCCAGAGGGCAGACAGGAAGAATGTGCAAAAGCAAAGAAGTGTATCAATGAGGGTGCACTTGGATTGGAAAACTGCTTTGCGAGTTCAGTAGTCAACCGTAAGAATGGAATTAAAACTTAAGATCTTACCTTCTAAGTCATCAATGCTTTTCTCCAATTTAGTTACTGACCTCTCTGCAAACTCAGCCCGAGTCTCGGCCTGTAATGATTTCATTTATTTCAATCAAACTTGGGAAGTTTTATATTGCTAGTAGCTACACATACAGGGAGAACCAGAGAATGAAAATCAAGGACAGCACCCATGAAACGGGTCTGGAACGGCCTGTCAGTCAGTCACGAGCACAGCACATTAAACCCAGGACCACCTCTAAATATCCCTGACTGGGCTCACCATACTTTTGAGATGGAGGAGCCCTGACCAGATCCATTAAAAACGGGACTCAGTTAAAATCCAGTTGGCGTCATCTGAAACACTCATAGTATTACCTCCTTCAGCTTGTCAGAAAGGACCTTGATCTCTTCCTCATATTTGTCTTCCTTCTGCGAGTACTGTAATTAGAAAGAGCATTCCAGATGTCAGGCCCCCGTTCACTCTAGACTCAGGTCTTCTAATACAAAGAACGTGCCAGCCCAGCCAACAGATGTTGAGGATCTCTTAGGAGGTAATGGAGCCTCGGGTATCAAATGGCACACTACAATACATACTCTGTTTTCCTGCCTATTGTTTTACATGGGATAAGAATGAGATAACTCGGCCATGTGGCGTTTGGTTTAAATTAAATTGTTACAGACGACTCACATGCTCAACATAAAATACGTTCTCTACTGAAGAAAAAAACAAAAAGACTGTTATCCAATACCCATCAGGAAATCACCTCAAAATGATGCCATTTGCTAAGGAAAATGCCTAAGGGACAGTTGCTTTCATCGGCGGGGCCTCAGACGAGAAAGAGCGAGCCTGTGCTGAGCAGCTCTGAGGAGACGCCTTTCCCCCACACCGTGCTCCTGGCCTACCTTCTCAGCCTGAGCCTCCAGTGACTTCAGGTTGTTCGTCACAGTTTTCAATTCTTCTTCAAGCTCGGCACATTTGCTAACGTTTTCGATCAGAGGCAGAAAGGGTGGGAGACAAGCCCAAGGAGGGAGGAGAGAAAAAGGAGAGGGATGGGAAAAAGTGAGAACTGAGTCCTAGAGAACAAAGGGCTGCCTTAAAGTAGCCAAATCGTCAGGTATTAAAACACTCCATTTTGCCAAGGACACTGTCCCCAACCTCGCAACAGTACAAAGGCAGGGTGACAAAATCCAACAACTCTGAAGGGTGATAATTTGGCTTCTTTTTTGGCTGCACCAAAGAGCATTTATGAAGGAAAAACAAAGAAGTATAAAGGGCCCAAAGAAAGCACTTAAAGCAGGACAGAAGACAGCAGCGGGTGTCGTTATACCAAACGAACCAGGAAACACTGGAAGCTGAAAGACGTCTGGATTGCAGTTAAACCTAAAACCACACATGAGCCATCAGTACCTTATCCTCTGCAGCCATTAATGCTTTCAAGGTCTGATCCATTATTCTTAATTGTTCTTCCAGCTGTCGGACTTGGCTGTTAGTGGACACAGGAAATGCACAAGGCCATTCTCAACATCAGTGTGCAGGTAAGGCATGCAGTGACACACGCATTCACACAGACGCCCCACGCGAGTCCTCCGTGTTCCGCACTGGCATCCCCGGCAGATGAGTGCCAGAGGAGCCCGGAGCCGGAACAGGGCAATGTGCAGCTGCCAGCAGGTCATGCCGTTTAGTCACTGCTCCGGAGTACGCCACGTACAGCAGGCTGGCACCGGGCCCGCTTACCTTTCCGAGAGTTCGGCCCGCTCCTCCGCGCGTTCCAGGTCACTCTCAATGATGACCAGCTTACGGGCCACCTGCAGCACGAGACACAACATGCACACATACACACCATGGGGCTGACAAGCTCTGAGGAAAAGGGCAGGCCACTGAAGCGGGTCCTGGATCCTCCAGCCCCTAGATGTTCCTACAGACCAATAAGATGACCCTCTTTCCCCTGGACTGGAGAGAAGCCACCTCTACCAGAAGAACCAATGGAGGGTAGACCAGAGGCTTTTGCCCACAAAGACCCAGAATGGTTGGTTTTGAGTAGGCAGTGTCATTTTAAGTCTGACCCAGGTGAAGTCCATGTAATTACACAGCAGCCAGCCAAAGTGTGGAAGGAGGGAGAGAGAAAATTCACCATCTCAAAAATAGCCGCATGATGAGACAGGATGCGTTTGATGCTGTCAAGGTAGGGACTGACAAAAAACACTGAAAATAATCCTGAGAACCCTATCAATTTAGAGCTCTGTACCTCAACCTCCTCTTTGTGGAGGAGGTTAAAAATGACAACCGAAGAGCAACAGAAGCTAACAAGAGATGAGCTGGTAAGATGACTAATCAAGTCAACTCGGTGTTCAGTGGAGGAAAGAAACTGAGAGAACGGATCCTCTGAAGCATTTCTGGAAGTAGCAGTAAATAATAATGGTGGTCGTAATAATACAGTGGTCGTAATAATAATATAGTGGTAATAATATTACTGGAAGTAGTAGGAATAATAATAATAATAATAATGGTGGTCATAATAATAATTATAATGGAAAAAAAGGAATGTAGTACCATTTTAAGATAGCTATGAATGAACACAAGTCATATTAGTTTTGTTATCATAGGAGGTTGTTCTCATGGGGACATGACCAGAAGCTGATCCACCTGTGAACCTCTCTTGACAGTGGAATTCTACCATCCTGAAAAGGGAGGAAAGATTGAAAAGGGCCTCTTGAATCTACATGGCCTTCAGTGCATGGACTTGTCTTTATGCTGCCTGAACGGGATGGTGCTAGGCAAATCACACCAGGAAGAGTGGCCTACATGGTGACAACACCAGAGGCTTTTTCCACAAGGACAAGAGGCCCAACTCTCCCTTCTCCTGGCCAAAGTTCTCTTGTCCTGGTCTGGGGGTTGCAAAGGTGGGGGATCATGGGGAAAGCTTCAGTCCTTCTCAGTGCTATGGAGGCTTCATGATAAAGCCTGGGATCCCCTAGGAGGATCAAATCACAACTGTTTTCTGGAGACAAAGGAACTCTGCTTCTTAAAACCATCCATTTCCACCAACAAAGCAGACTGTTTCCCTAAAGAGCACAAGGCTGTAAGCACTGCTCCCCGGCCCCCACCGAGGCCACTGCTAGGGAGTCCACGAGGCTTTGGGCCCCAAGATCTGACCTCTTCATACTTGCGGTCGGCATCTTCAGCGATGTGCTTGGCCTCTTTCAGTTGGATCTCCTGAATTTCCATTTTCTCCTCGTCTTTTTGGGCTCGACTTTCAATGACTTTCATGCCTCTGAAAAGGAAGACAAGCAGGAAGACCCAAGGTTTAGAGACGACCAACATAAACCCACACCGCACTGCATGGGTTTGTGCGGCCTGGTGTAACTGGCAGACCAAAACAGAGCACAGAGCCACTTTTACTTTCCAAACCATGAGGCAAGAGTTTCCAGAGCTGAGGGCAAAAAAAGCCATACACTTCTCTGTTTATTGTGAATGAAACCTCACTTTTGATACTGGTGAAACTGTCCAGGGATCTAATGCTAAATGAAAGGTACCACATCAGGATCCTGTTAGAAGCTGGGAGGCATGGAAACAGGAAAAGCCAACATACCTGACTTGCTATACAAATAATGGGATTTCTTCCTTTTACTGGTGGGAAGCTTCAGCTTGAAAATGGACCGAAGTTATAACAAAAACATACTTGTCTTCATGTACTTTTTCCTATAAAGAAGGTAGCTGTTCTCATCCCATTAGCTACAAATGTAAATATCAGATTGAACCATATGAGCCTGGTGATACTTGAGGATGTTAGACCTGTAAAAATGGCAATTTCATATGGGTCAACCTATACTTTAGGTAAGAAACTATGAATTTTGCCTTTAATAGAATTCTTTCATAATAGACATGTTGAGAAACAGACTGATACCAATATCTACGCTGATATGTAAGTTTGAATCCCACGGTGTTAAGTTTTGGAAAATGTTAATTGTTCTGTAATATACTACAGTTTTATGGAATAAGTCATGTTAAAATGGGATTCATTTAGCAAAATCTAAGCAGGCAGTTCAGATAAATAAATCACTATTTTTTTGATGAAGCACTACGGTATATATTCGAAGACTGAGATTCAAGCCTTGGCTTGGCCATAAATTCACTGTCAGATTTGGGAAGGCTGTATCAACTACTAAGCCCTTGTTTCTCATTTATAAAATGAGGGGGCTGGGGTAAACAACCTCTAAATTCCTTTTTACTAAAAAGTCTAACATTGCCAGATTGCCTTTTAGGTTCACTAAAAAGTATATTTCAGGAAGAATCGGCCACAGAACCACTGCGATGTGTGCACTGTAAGAGATGATGAGTCATCCTAAGGAATTCCAAAACTCTTGGTTTAGGAAGAAACAATAAGCAGCAGTGAATAATGAGTTGGGAACTTCAACTTAAAAGCTTCTTGAATCTTCAAGTCTGAAATCACTCCTTATCTCTGGCAGCAGGGAGCAGAAACTCACTTTTATCGAAGAGAGAAGAGAAATACAAAGAATGGCTGAGTGCATTCACCTGCCCAGATCCCAGCACAGAGCCACTCACCCAGGGTTCTGAGCCACCACACTACTCTCGTGTCCCTCCAGCTGGGAGAACTCTCTCTCATCTCGTGGAGCTGTGCTGGGACTGCTTCTGGGCAACATGAATACATGAGCCCGAGCAGCTGAGCAGAGGAGAAAAATGCCTTTTAGCATGCACGGAGCTATGCTGGTCTCTATGGCTCTATGGTCTCTATGGCTCTCCTTTCCTACCCCAAAGCTGAATCTTGGAGCAGTCAGGCAGGCAGAACCAGGTTACAGGGAGCAGGCTCAGAACCCACAGGTAGCTGACTGTCTACATGTGCACGAGTGTCTTACCAGTGTTACTAAGTCCAAAACAATTTACTGTCACTGATCATATTTCTGTTTTATTGGTGCTGCCTCTTCTACTTATCTGTTGGGTTAGTTGACCACTGAGAGTCCCTGGTTCATTTATCCAGGCACAGTCTTCTCTGAGTATTTTAAAATAAAGTGTATCGGGGCACCTGGGTGGCTCAGTGGGTTAGAGCCTCTGCCTTCGGCTCAGGTCATGATCCCAGGGTCCTGGGATCGAGCCCCACATTGGGCTCTCTGCTCTTCGGGGAGCCTGCTTTCTCCTCTCTCTTTCCGCCTGCCTCTCTGCCTACTTGTGATCTCTGTCTGTCAAATAAAAAAAATAAAATAAAATAAAAAATAAAGTGTATCTTTTAAAAAATGCCTAACTTCTCTGTGGTCAGCAAGAATGAAAGAACCAGCAGGCATCCCTAGAATAGCTCATTTAAATGTCCATGTCCCTCACCGGACAGTGAGCTCTAGGAGGGCAGGAATAGGGTCTTTTTCTTCCTTGTAACCTCAGGGTTTAAAACAGTACTTGGCACACAGGCGCCCCACTAACGTTAAACGAACAAACCCAGTAAAATTATACCTGGCATCGACTGAGGAAACGATCCCACCAGGGGACTATAAAACTCTTAAGCCCTGTGGGGGAAGCCCTCCTGTCACACCTGGGAAAGGTGGGCTGGGAGAGGCGCGCTCACCTCTCGCTCTCGTCTGCGGCCTTCTCGGCCTCCTCCAGCTTCTGCAAAGCTGTTGCCAGTCGCTCTTGGGCACGATCCAACTCTTCCTCAACCAGCTGGATGCGTCTGTTCAGAGAAGCTACGTCGGCTTCAGCCTAGGCAGAGAGAGGGAAAGGCCTCTCAGACCGGGAGAGAAGGCAAGCGCGGTGCCTTCAGGAAGTGTAGGAGCCCGAAACACCTGTCTCAGACGGGAAGCCTGGCCCTGTGGGGAGCTACCTCCAAGTGCCGCCGGTGCCCAGGGCCACTCTGGAGCTCGAGGAGGCGGGGCTGCGTTGATCCAATACCGTGAACACACACACTGGTGTGTTTACACACGCACCATCACAGGGACCGTAAGCAAGTGCGCTCTCGCTGGGTTCCCTCCACAGAACTCCACACTGGCCCTAACTGACGGCCACCTCACTCATGGGGGCCCGAGGGCTGGCAGAGGCGAGCCTTATGCAGGCTTGGCTACACACGATAAGAGGAGGACAGCCAGAAACCAGACTCAGGGGTCTGCATTCTCCTTTCTCTGTCCACTTGCTCAAAGGCTTCTCATAAAGGAACTAAAATGTTTGAGAATTCAGCCGTTCTAAAATATACACCATAAAGACGCCACAAAATCCAGTAACTGCCCCTCCCCACCCTCTTCTCAGTAACCCCTGCAGCACTGGGTCAGCTGGAACAGGGCCAAGACAAATTTCCCATATGTTTCTGAGATAAGCTTACTGGCATTTCTTACGAGGTTGCTACAAGAAAAGTTTCAAACTCCTTAAAAGAAAAGCAGTATAGAGACTATTTTTATTGGTATCTGTATCTGAATTAAGATGTTTCCTTTTCGGGGATGCAACGATTACCTACTATTGCAGGCGCTTGCTACTGGGAGCCTCAGAACACTTGGAAGGCTGTGACGGTCCCTCATACACACTGGCATTGGGGTCTGTTTAAATACCACACATGGAAGTCAAAGCCAGCACTTACCAATCAGGTACCATTTTCTTGTTTGCATCCACTTTTATGTGCTTATCACGGGGTGACAAGGTTTTCAGGACACTTGAGAGTTTTCTAAAGATTACAATACATACTTAGGCACCCATGCGAGTTCTATCTACATTCCTGTCTTCTTTACTCAACAGGAAGCTTCTTAAATGTAGGGAGTCACAGCTCTCTGCACAGGATACAGGCTCAGTAAATGTCTACGAATAAAACAAGTAAAATCAACCTAATTTAAACAAAATCAACTTTCTTAGCTCATGGACCCATGATGTACACGGTCTGAAAGGCACATGTAGTTAGAGAGAGGCTGTGATTATGGCCTTGAATGAGTATGAGAACATCCAGCTCTTTGCTCATCAGGATTTATAAAATTTTAAATACCAAGTTTTGTCTGGAAAAGAGGTGATTAGGGCATCTCTAACTGTGGTGAAAGACTCCCTCTATAAAACATTGAAATACACTTTCATCTCGTCAAAAATCAACTATGTAGTAAAAATCAGCTAACGGAGACAGGGAGTAGGGTAAAAGGGAAACAGGATCTGACGACAGTTTACAACCACACTGGCTACAAGGTAAATCCTTACTGGGTTCTGCTAAGTCTGACCAGCTGGTGAGTATGGTTTTTTCTAAAGGAGGGTGAGGGCAATAGGGACAATACATTTCTTATGTACAAGGAACTGTCTTTTAGCTCTGTTTTTTAAAAAACGGGAAGGAAGCGTACATGAAGGGTATACTTTGGGTCAGGTCCACTTTGTTCACTTTTCTGTATTTTCCATTTCTAGTAAATTCTAATCCCTTTATGAAGGTGGGGGGGGAGATAAGCAAGTTGCAAAGTTGAAAACAAAAATGAAGAACAAAAACAAAAATACTGTAGTACAATGTCTACATCAGGTACTCAAAAGTATCTCTCCCCCACCTTCTTTCATTATTACTTCTTTTAATATGAAGGCAAATATCTTTGTTACAGGTGCTGGGGCCAGAGAAATGTCAACAAGATTTTCCAAATGTTTTCTTGTAGCCATTACATGCTAAGTTTCTGCTTTGTGTTTCATCTGGGCCCCAAACTTGAGAACTTTGTAGTCACAGAAAAAGACGGATGACTGTTTCTGCTCTAGGGAAAGGACCTTCTGGGTGACAGGGCAATCTAGGTCCTCAGCTCCTCATGTGGCTGAGGCACAAGAGAATAAGGAAACCGTACCCCATACTCGTTCCTGCCTCTGTACACAAGATCTCCCTGAGAGGTCCCCCCAACAATCTGTTATCTTCCCCCTTATTGCCTCCCACTCTAACATTCCCTCCTTTAGTTCTGGATCCAGTTTTATAAATGTCACTAACTCTTTCCCTGGGAGCATGTTGTAAAAACTTAGAATTCCTAACATTATGAGCTGTGTCCTATAGGAACACCAGCCCATACAGCTTCACATAGGGCACCCAAGCAACAATTGGGAATGGAAGTCCGTTCTAGGAGCTAGGACTGTACGCACAGAGAGAGCACACCTGTGGGTGGCTCACAAAATGGGGTCTCAGCTGATTAGCTGAGAGAGTCCCTAGGCATCATTCAGCAGTTCCCACAGCTGGCTGAGTGTCAGAATCCACGAGGAGGTGTGCATTAATAATGCAAAGTTCCAGGCCCCATTCCTAGAGATTCTGATTCAGGAGATCAAAGGGAAGGGCAGACTCTGCAATATAAATAAGCAGCCAGTTCCATTCCTGCACCTTCTCCATCCCACCACCCACAGAAGCTGGCTAATCCTGTGCAAACCACTCTTTGAGGTCTCTGTTCAATAGAAAGGGAGGTATCTTTGATTCAGAGGGATGACTATGCTTGGGCCATCAGGGGGAGACAAGACTAAAACCCCAGTGGCCTGGGTCCTCATGTGTGGGCTCTGTCACTTCTCATGGTCTCCAGGGATGTCACAGCAGCCCTGGAACTAGATGTTCTCACTCCTGGCGCTTTCTCTCTTCCTATATCAGAGTGGGAGGTCCTCTACAGCTTCCCCTAACACAACTCCCCTCGCGAAGAAAGGCTTCTGTGACAGAGGCCAGCCAGGACTAGAGAGTTCTGTATTGAATACCATCCACTAAACAAGTCTTCTTAGTCCTTTCTGAAATAAGGTATGGTATTACATTGAAAAACTTCAACACACAGCACTCATGGGTGACACCTCCCATACGGAAACAGAGCATTTGCTCTCAAGCCAGGAAGCCGATGCCTGCTGCCCCTGAGGTGTCCCAGGATAGGCACAGGTGCTTGTAGGCTACCACTGGGACCCGGGGGTAAGTCTATCCCCATGAAAGCTTTCCCTGGGAAAAAACTGGATTCTCACTGGCTTCTCAGGTCCTACCATACTGGTATGATTACAGTGCTCTCTGGGTCCCCAGAATTCAAATTAAGTTTAATTCCACAAATGAACTAAGAGCACTTCTTTCTCTCTCTTATTTTTATTTGCACGTGCGTTGTCTGTGTGCGTGCATGCACACGTGTATGTGTGTATTTGGGATTATGCCCTGTGTTCAAAAGCCCCTATCTCTCACCTTCACTAGCTTTTATTTTTGGTGTTTTCTAAGTTCTGAGGTTTATTGAGGTATTCTCTAAGGCTCCTTTTATCACAGAACCTGGGCAGTCTACTTAAGATCTAACCTGAGATTACATTTGCCAGTACAAGCCCACAGCCACATGAGTATCTATTACTTTAAAAGCACATACAAATAACAAGGCATTTGGGAAGGGGCAAGACCCCAGAAGCAGATTATTTCCAGGCATGGAAGTCACCCTGAGTGTGCTGGGTTAGCTTCTTCTAACAACGGGCCCATGTTTTGCCACTGCTGGAGGAGTCTTTCAGTTTGGGATGCTGGTTTCTTTTATTTCAAAAGTGCTATTGTGTCCCAACATGTAATGAGCTCCTCAGAAAAGAGACTGCTATATTAGCAAAGGCTACCAATTATCTTCCTGCAAGATCTGTTGTTAACCACCAGGCACTTTGCAGTTATGCCTGCCCTGTCCCCTCACCCAACCCAAAGGTATGAGCTACCTACACAGAAACCAAGGGCAGGCACACCACTCCCCCGACCCAACACAGTACCACATGGAAATCAATGGTATGGCCCCTACAATACAGCAAAATATTACTCCAAATCAGATTTGAAAGAAAACTTTTACAAGGCCTAGATTTTCGTGAAATCCAGATGTTTTAGCCAAAATAACCAAAACAAAACAAAACAAAACAAAAAACCTACAAAAAAACCCCAAAAGCAATGATTTTTACTTTTCAAAATAAGTATTCTAGTTAAGATTATTAAGAAAAAAATATCTGTAGGAAAATAACACGATATCCTAAAAAGTGATCCTCCAGAATACATCTTCAAAGTCCTGCCTGAACCAGAGTAGAACATGAGATGATCAAAGGTCAGGCATTTTTATTTCATGCAAACTGTAGTTATACAGAGAAGGTTTCACTCAACTTGCTGTGTAAGACCAAGTGACTACGGCCAAGTTAAACTTCTGCCCTTATATGGTAAGCAGAGGGGGAAAAAAAACCACCGATGACATTAAGGGGCACTCCCATGGATAACAGATAAACACAACCTCCTCTATCTGTGCCAAAGCCTATAATTTATGAGGCATATTTGTATAATGAGGGAGAACGGACATGAACAGGGCATTGTAGTGCCCTTGCCTTGCCTACATATGAAAACAGAAATCATGAGTGTATATTCCAGTTACTGCCAGTACTTGGGGGTGCCAATGTGAGCATGAAGCACACCCTCGAGCCTCCTGGTCTCAGAGATATTTACCAACTCAAAAGTGAGAGATGGCAGGAGATTTCTGTAAATTGGCTACTTCCCACGATTTAATAAAATGACCAGTTAAGAACCTATAGGCTACAACTTTAAGTTTCCTTGTTTGCTGGATACTACCCAGAAAGGAGGAAAGACTGGCTCTTTCCTGCTCCTTTTTCCTTTGATAATGACAAAAAACATACAAAACCCTAGTGGGTCACAAGATTCAGAGTCAATCATTATATCAAGCAAAGTATCCTCATTCCAACAGTTTGAAGGACCCACACACCTTGGAAAAACAAACCAGTAGGAAATAAACGATAGCCAATTTTTCCAAGGT